CCTTTGGCCCCCCCCCCCCCCCCCCCCAATTACTCCTTTCAGCGAAGGGTTTTGCCATCTCGGAACTAGAAGGATACCAAATTTGTATTCTAAAAATTGAACATCTGCAACATTAATTGATTTCATCTCAGAAATATTTTTGTCCCGATTTACATGCGTTTGTGTACACAGGTGATTGCACAATAGCTTAAAATGAGGTCTTACTCTTGTATATTGTGCTGGGGGGTGAGTATAGGTTTGGGGGTGGGTTGTGCGTATCTGGGGGAGGGTGTGGGTGTGTGGGGGGGTTTGTGGGGAGGATTGGTGTGGGTGTGGATAATGAGGGGTGTGGGAGTCTGCATGTATGGTGGGGTGTGCTTGTGAGACTCGCCCTATGAACACACACACCTCCTGCTACTGGCCCCAGGGTACTGGTGCTCCCATGGTTTGGCTATGCTGCCAAGAGCAATGTGGTGCTGGAGCAGGCACATAGGCAAGCAGTGAAAACTGGGGCAAGCAAAGGCTTTCAGTTGGGAGAGGCAGGGCTAGGCCAGCCTTGTTGCTGGCTCCTGCTGCCCCTGTCTCCTGTCATCTTTGACAGGCAGGCAAGAGCGGATAAATACTAATTTTCTAAACTTTTTAGGTGACCCGTGGGCTGGATAGAATGGCCTGGCAGGCCGGATCCAGCCTGCTTGCCAAATTTTGCCCGCCATTGTCCTTAAGCTGTTCCCTTGAAAATCCTGAGAAGTGAGGGTTGTGGATAGAGAAACTGTTTTCCATTTCTCCTGGGGCTGAATACTGGGGGAAATTTGGGTTTGGGGGTGGGGATTGAAGAACTTTATGAAATACTGTTCAGAATGAACAGTGAATGAATGTTTAGATTAATGTTTGAAATTATTGCTGCATTTCAGCCCTCCATTACGAGGAACTTTGTGACTGCAAGGATGGTCAAGCATTGGTACAAGTTACCTAAGGAAACTGGAATCTCCATCCCTGGAATTTTTCAGGAGCAGGTTAGATAGACACTTGGCTGGGATGGTTTAGTCAGAGATAATCCTGCCTTGAGCAGGGGGCTGGATTATGTGACCTCATGAGCAGATATCAAGGTTTTCAGTTTCCCATGGAAATCAGAAGTTGAGCATGTTTTACTTTGTTTTCAAACGTTGTACTGATCAGTGACCACTTTGCTTGTATAAAGTGATATCAAGTATTGAACATCATAAATTGGGTTGGCTACGAGCCACATGAGCTGATGCAGAGCCAGACAACCTGGCCTGGCAATGGCAGTGCACCACCTCCTGGCCCACTCTGCCATTACTCTCAATCTGTTTGTAGAACCACTGATGACCTGTTGCAGAACCTCAGGGTTCTGTATGGGTACAGTTTGAAAAGCACTATACTAGAGAATATTGTAATGGGAACAGTATTCTTTGGACTGGCAATGCCAGTAGCATGAAAGTAGTACATTACTACTATACAAGTAATATAGCATCCAACTATTACTGAAATAGTTAAGAACCTTATGTAGGCCACAGGAAACTTTGTTTCATAAAGTTGGGCACACTGAAAAATATCTCCAAAAGCAAAACAAATGATAAAACCTTGGGAAACTATGTGCATTGTAGCTTTCATCTTTAAGAAGCAGCAGAAAAAAGATCATGGTAAAAGTACAACTGACTTCCTAGCAAAACAAGATGCGTGAGGTGTGATATGTAGGGGTTTTAGTTGAATTAAAAAAGAAACCAAAAAACATTGTTTAAAAAACAGTGATAAGTGAGGATTTTAATTTTAATGTAGTTAACCTCATTAAGTATATTTATTTGAATATAAGATGCGGGTTTTTGTTCCCCAATTAGCATTGGGGGGTGGAGGAATCTCTTCATCTTATATTTGCATTCAAGGAAACCTCACTAAATATAATGTTTATCGTTAAACTGCTGCCAAAAGCAGCGTGTGCTCAGCAAACTATCAAGTTTGATTTAAATGCAGCAACACTGAGCGTGACTATAAAACACATCGCCCATATTGAGCAAACATTGATGGGAACCTACCACAGTGTGATGCATTAGTGCTGCCCATGTGAATAAGATGCATAGTAGTTGCCCACTAGGCTTAGTTCCTCTCAGCACTGACTTTTTCAAAGTCATGATGAGCTGCTGCATTCAATACATTTTGACTTCTTCACTCCCACAGCTGGGCTGTACCTTTCTTTTCTGTTTACAGTGATTTATGTCTTCACTAGATTTCAGTGTCTGGCAGACATCACCAAACGGGGCCCCCAGATGGTTCACTCAGAACCCCTTTGTTGCCCCCTCACTTACTGTTGCATATGATTTGGGTGGCCCTGCCCTCCATGAGGGAGAGCTGAGCCAGGTTTCCTTATGCCTTGTCTGCATATAATTTTTTGGAGGATTCCAGGACTCATGACAACACCTGGTTCCAGTCATGAGTGGGGGTTAATTAGCACATGGATCCTTGGTGGGGTGTATCACATTCTGAGCAGTGCTGAGCTTGAAACACTGTTGACACTGCTGGGGCCCAGCCCAGTGAACTATATAGTAAATCATGAGCTTTTTGTTTTTGGACTAACGTCATGCATAGTTTGTACTATATGCAAGTAGGTAAAGTGCTGCTTAAAAGTGTGTTTATGGAGTACTTATGCTAAAACTAGCAGCAGTTTAAAAAAAAAAAAGTATCGTGCATCAATTTTGGACAAATTAATATGCAAAGGGCAGCCAGAAGGGCATAGAAAGCATTAGTTTGCTTAAAATATGGGTCAACAGCCCACAGTCCACAAGTTGGATCTGGCCTACGAAAAGGCCTAACCCTATCCTCAAGCATCTGATTTGGCATTGCGGGGGTAGGGATCACTCTTGTAGAGCTATACTGCACCTGCCACCTGTGGCAGGGCTGTGCCCCAATATCTGAGCTTACCTTACTGCAGAGGGGCTGGGAATGGGAATCTGGTAGCTCAGGGGAGAGGGGCAAGAGGGTGGAAACTTCCAGTCCACTGCCTTCCTGTGCTAAGTGAATTAAATTGAACTTTCTCCATGCTTTCAAAGTATTTAATCAAGATCCTTCTTTGAAATATTTGTGAAAGCTTGTATCGCCAGTAGCATGGCTATTTCATGGGTAGAGCATATTGAGTCTCTTAAGAAAATTTGAAGTATCTAGTCAAGGATACTTACTTATTTGAACACCCTACAAAATTGAATTCCATCTAACAGCTCCCTATCAGTCTTTCTTTGTTTTTTTCAATTACATTTCTGCTCAAAAAAGTATGTCCACTTGGTGTGTTTCAACTTGTGATCTTCCTTTTTTTTTCCATAGGTTGCTGGAACTTTTTCTTTATGGCTTGCCTCTTTCTAGAAGTTGCATGTTTTAAAGAGGAAGGGAATTCTGTTGTAGAATTGTTGAGGTCTGCTCCTGGTTCTGCTGGAGACTTCTAGTGTGGTCTTGGGGACAAATCACATGAATTAAGTTTTCTGTAAGAAGAAGATTGTTGTGTCAGTGCAGTGTTAGAAATGTTCTCAACTCACTATAGTCATTATGCTCTTCTGTGTTGCTTATAAAAACATAGATAATTTTTGAAGTGATAAACTTGCCAAAAAGAATGGTGTACAGTGGAAAATATTGGAACAGCCCTGACTAGATTTGCACTGATGCATTTTGTCTGGGTCTTGGTCTTCAAAGGAAGAAGCTGTTTTGTCATGCTGTTTAAATACTGCCCTCATATGATTGGAGTGGAAAGCTATGTAAGTCACTTTAAGGAAAGAAGAGCAGGATATAGTAGGACCTTATTGCAGCAGACTTTTTGGTTCCTCCCTCTTTGCTAAGCAGTCCTTATTCTTGGTATGTTGGCTTGTGGAAGTAGGCGTTAAACAATGTAGAATGGACATGTCTTTCTAACTGAACTTAACATTTTTTTAATCCCTTTAATTTCTAGATGGGAATGATGAGTAATCCCAGTCCTTATGGCTCACCATACAGCCAAAACACTGGGCAGCAGATTGGAGCCAGTGGACTTGGTCCCCAGATGCAGAATAAAGCTGGGCTACCAAACAGTTTACCCCAGTTTACAATGGACAAGAAGCCAGTCCCTGGTTCAGGAATGCCGAACATGGTAAGTTAAATATATGTCTTTGTTTTGTTGGTTTTTTTCAAATGGTAGCAGACCAAATATGGAGCACTTGCAACGTTCTGTTGGTAGTACATGTAAGCCTATAAAATTTTGCAGCAGTTGGCTACAAATTCTGTGCTATCAGGCTCCCCTATGGCAGCTCTGGTTCCCATGATGAAAGATGGAATCCACACAAACACTCCCTTGTTTCTCACTCTTTCTGAGAGCAGATAAAAGGATCCCTGGAGGAGTGTTGAGGGAGTGCAGCTATGCAGGGGGGAAAGTATAATGGAGCTCCCCACCCAGATTTCAACTGAGCTACCTGCTCACTAGTTTTGATCTCTTCTCTTATCCCTTCATTGGTGGTCTGCTGGGGCCTTTCCCTCTCCTCGTGCTCCCTGGAGGCTTGCTTCTCTTGCTCTTGTCCCCTGACAGTTTTGGGACTAAAGGAGGGCATAAATGCTTCTGTATCCATTTGTTGACATGGATAGCCCCACCCGTTGCTCACAGTGCTGCTGGAACAGGCAAGTAGGATTCTTAGATAGATCACCAAAAGCCTTAGAACTAAAAATAAACATGTTTAAGCTTCCAAAATTGATCTTGTTTACCAAGTCGTCATTGTTTTATAGAAGCAAGGGGGTAGTTCCAACTGCTGTCTGATTCTGCAGTTTGTTATTTTAAAAACTGCAGATGATCAGGAGGTTTTATGTAATATATCCTTCTACTTTAATGGTGGAAAGCAGATGAAAAAGATATTGAAGAAACCACCTTCTTTATTATTATTTATAAACCTACTTTTTCTAGTGTCTTCTGTTAAGCTTGGGTTTCTCCATTCTTTTGCCCTCAGAATCCAGTCTGGCCTTTCAGCAGAGGTTTGTGGCCCAACAGCCATTTCCAGCTGACTTTCTGTAATTAAATTAGGGATATTAAAGCATTCCTCATATAGGTGCTCTGATACATTGGTCCATATTGTATTGACACTGACAAAAGGAAAATTAACATTACCGGCAATTGACTTGTTTTGGCTGATGCAGCCGATTTAACATCTCCAATAAATGCTGTGTGTGCAGCCTGGCAGTATGAAGAGGATTGTCTGACTGGTAAATCTGTTAGGAGTGGGGTAGGGGCACAGGGGAAGGAATGGGTGTGGGAGGGGTAGACCGAGTCCCCTGCGGTGAGGGAGGGAGTGGGGTAGGGCTGGGGTAGGGGCAGGCACTGCACGGCTGATGCGGGGTGCAGGACAGAGCCACAAGCGGTTTGGGGGTGGGGGGGTAGCCCTGCTGCTGCATGCACCCTGGATATGGGTATGGTGGGGATTGGGCGTGTGCCCCGTGGATCTGTGCATGGGGCCTGGGAGGGCTGCTGCTGTGGGATAGGGCTGGGTACGGTGCTGGGCTCTTCCTAGCCAGAGCTGTGCTCAGGCCAGGCAGCAGTGGTGCTGGGAGGGGGTCTACAGCAAATTTTGGGGTGGCCACAGCTCACCCCGTAACCCCCCTCCCAGTGCTGCCACCACCTGCCCTGAACCCAGCCCTGCTGCTGGGAAGAGCCCTGTCAGCAGCCCGCCCTTGCTTCATGCACAAATCCAGGCGCCCCCCCCCACACGCCCTCCCAGGGTGTGTGCAGTGGCAGTTGCTGGGTCCCCCAAGCAAGCTGTGGCTCTCTCCCCTGCCCTGCTCCACCCCGGCTGTGCAGCACCTGCTCCTGCCCTAGCCCCAGCCTTACTCCCTCCCTTAACGTGGGGGCCCTGATCTGTTTTCCCCCTCATACACATCCCTTCCTTTCCTCCCCCCAACCCCCCCCACCCCTTTCCCTCCAACAGAGTTACCAGCCAGATGCTGCTCTCCAAGCTGCTGGGCTGCCTGGCGGCAATTGGATTGATATTGGCTAATATGGCTTGTTAAAAATCAACCACTAGTATTGGCCTAAAGCACCTCTAATTCCTCATTTTGTTTTCATTAATTACATGTACAAAGTACTCTTTCTTTTGAGGCACTAGGGTATGCTGTACAGCAGTTTAAAATGCAATGCAATCAAAACCCTAATCCACCTATATAAGTTAGTCCTGTGTATGGACTAATGCTAAAGATGCGTCTGAAAACAGGTCTAGAAATGAATTTTTCCTGATTCTTTGTAAAATGGAAGGGGTACAACTTAATGGATAACCATGGAATATGGGAAATAGCAGCAACAGGAATTTGATGGAACTCTTGGTATGAAAAAAAAATGAATTGTGAGAATGTCTACCAAGATCAACAATTCCAAAACTAAGGGGCCCGACTCCTGGTGAGGGTTGCAGGCCACATAGCATCTCTGATCCCTGGATGGGACTTAACTGTGGCTCAGCTGCTTTCCAGTAACTGAAATGACAAGTTTAGCTGCGTTTCATTTAAGGGTAATCTACCCTAGTTTCTCTCAACATGGGGTAAGAGTGGGCTGATGGACAATTACAGAGAGGTAGCTCCAGCAAGATTAAATCCCTGCCTCTTGTTAATTGTTGGCACATGAAGTCTATTCTGATAAGACTCAATCTTTTTTAATTAAGGGCCTGGGACCTTAAGTGGTGTGGACTTTATCATGCAATAACTATTCTTTGATAATTGTTCCTGTATCCTCAGTTACCTGTGGTGAGGGGTACAACAGGGCAATTCCTCCCCCCCCCCCACTGAATGAAACAGGAAAGGTGTGCCTGTTTAGCCCTCACTTACTATAGGGTGCAGGTACACAGGCAGTTCATGTGCCTGCAGTTAACAGGACAGGGACTTGCCATTCTTCTGTGTGCTGAAGCTGCTCCGATTGTTTCTCTCTGTATGGTAAGAGCAGATATAGGTACCACTGAGCAGCTGAGGTGCAGCATGTAATTTGCAGGCACTCAGACAGCGGTAATGGTGTGCTGAGCTGTGTGAAACTTTGACTGCAAAGACAGCAAATGGAAAAAGCTTGGATTCTGTTGCTCAGGAGTCTAAAATATAGCGAAGGACCCTTTCTCTTTTTGGAACCTTGAAAACTGAGAAAGGAGTATCCAAATGAGTCTGTTACTTAAGGCATCCATCACTGAAGTTGGAGAATTGCAGCATGTTAAGTTTTTTTGAAACCATTGAAGAGCTCTGCTTAGGTGGCTAATGCCCATGTAGGTGGGCATTTATTTATTAAGCCTGTTGTCTTGAGTGAATGTTGCTGTTACAAAGTTATAGGATTAATGAAAGTGTAGCCAGATACAGATTACTGTAGAAACTTGTTTATGTCTCAGAAATGTTCTGTTGAAAGAACATGGTTAAATAAAGCCAGCACTTAACATCCTCGTACTTCCAGGCCATTCCCTTCAGTAGAAGGTTGGGAGCAAGAGGATACAAAGAAGGTCACACATTCATATTAGTACCTATGCACAGCCTCAAAGTTTGATATCATTCATGTCTTTCAGTGACAGTATTGATGAAAGGCACAACCAGGACAGAGATTGAGCACAATCTTAAGACAAAGTACATACGATAGAGGTGTACCGATAAAGATTTTTTTGGCTGATACTGATGGCCGATTATTAGCCAGCCATATTGGCTGATACAGTCTGGTTGCTGATGTGCAACCCAGCATCTTGGAAACGAGCATCTGCTGATAAGTCTGTCGGGGGGAAGGGGCATGGTGGGGGCAGATTGAGGCCCCCACGGTGAGGGCGGGAATGGGGCAGGGCACAGCACAGAACTGAGGGCAGCTCCTCTGGGGGTTGGCTACCAGCTGCTGTGCACGCCCCCCCAGGGGAGGCATGGGGGTCATGTGCCCCTAGATTTGTGCACAGGACGAAGGCAGGCTGCCCAGTGCGGGCTCAGAGCCAGGGCCTGTGCCAGCCTCTTCCCACAAGGGGTTCTGGGCAGAGACAGGGCAGGCGGCTGTGGTGCTAGGAGAAGCGGGGCTATGGGATAGGCTGTAGCCGCCCCAAAATTCCCTGTAGCCCCCCGCTCCCGGCACTGCTGCCACTGCCTGCCCTGCACCCACCCACCCTAAGTACAGCTTTGACCGAGGACCCCCCACCAGGAAGAGGCAGCCTCCAACCCCAAGCCCACAGTGGGCAGCCCACCCTCACCCTGCGCACAAATCTGGGGGGCACATGCCTTCCCCAGAGATGCGCGCAGTGGCTGGGAGCAGCCCCCCTTCCACTTTTGCCCTCCCACTCCCTTCCCTGTGCCCTCTGGATGAGCCACCCATGGCTCCATCCTATACCCCACCCCATCCCAGCTGGGTAGCATCTTCCTCTCCCACTCTTTCCTTCACTATGGGGGCCTCAATCTCCCCCCTACACCCCTTCCCCCCACAGACTTACTGGCCAGACACTACTCTTCAAACTGCCAGGTTGCATTCCTAGCCATGTGCATGCATGCGACTGTGAACATGCACACGGCATTTATCAGTGATATTGAGCTACACTGGCTAAAAAAAGCTGATTGCTGATGATGTCAGTTTTCCTTTTCTTGGTGCCGACCCAATATGGACCGATTATATTGGTGCACCTCTAACATATAATTCAACATGCTGCTCAATACAAGTGATCCATAGATACTGAACACAGGAAAAAATGTAATCATAGAAAAGTAGGGCTGGAAGGGACCTCAGAATGTTACCTAGTCTATCCTCCTGCTCATGGCAGGATCATCCCTATCCAAACTGTCCCCCATACAAGTGCTTGTCTAACCTGTTTCTAAAACTACACAAATAGCAGTTGCACTTTGCCCCCAACCACCAAGACCACCCTAAACTGCTGCAGGCAAAACAGGGGGATAAGGATGATGTCAATGTCCCACTGCTGTTGGATCTCAAGTGTATTTTAAAAATCCTAAGTGATAGTCTTGAAACATTTTGTTTCAAGCTACTTTGGTAATTTATAGTTAACTATTACCAAGTGATTTCATTCCTTTGTATATACGTATAACTTTTGAGGGAAACTGTATACACAGAAGCATAGCCACTTGCTTGCTGAAGAAACATGTGCTCAGAGAAGTTCTGAAAACATGCAGGAGGACCAATATGGTAATGTCACTGAAATATAAAAGCAGTTGGATATTTTTGCTAGTTGGAGTCCTGAACAATTGTACCTTCTCAGAGCTTCCATCCATACTAAAAACCCTTCAGCTGGTGATACAGTATACCTACAGCTAAAAGTCCCCATGGTGTGTATTATTTCCCCAAACTGAAACTTATTGAACAACCTAATAATGAGGGGAAGGTAAAGGGCATTTTACTAGTACCATCCTCCTCTTGCAAAATGAGCCATTAATGCTATTAAAAGCACCCAGAGAAAAAAGGATCAGAACCACAGGTGGAGGATCTCAACATTCACAGTACTTTAGAGATGATCCTTGTGTTCCAGCAGTTGTCCCATTGTCTTCTCTTCAGTCTGATTTCCTGTGAAAGGAGGAAGATTTCTATGAACTTTTTTTTTTTCAATTGTACAAGAGCTCTTTCTTGGGGCATTTAAACAGCTGTGCCCATATCTCTAATATTTAAAGTTGATGAAGAATTAAACTGCATTTCTAATATGATGGACTAATTGAAAAGTCTTGACTGATGCTGAAAGTGTGTGTAAAACTGGGTGCCCTTAATCACTTCATCAGCTATGATAGGAGGAGGAGAAGAACATGCTCAAAGTAGTTCATTGGGATCAGTAACAAATTTCAATTCTGCTATGAAATACTATTGATAATATTAATAAATGTATAATTACTGATGAAATAAATAATCCAGTATCAAGGAATGGGGGAAAATTTCTTTAAATGTGTGATCATCTTAGTGACATTTTAATAATTATTTTGAATACACTCTGGTTAACTCACTAAGTGACTTTCTTTTGATTTTTTTTTTTTTTAAAAAGTGACTTGGTTCTAATGAGTACATGTCTCCTGTCTTCTCCTGAAGGGCCAGCAGCAGGCGCCGCAGGTCCAATCCGCTGGGATGGTGCCAGCTGCTCCCCAGGCTATGGGGTCAGGGGCCCCTACGGCAGACCCAGAGAAACGTAAGCTCATTCAACAGCAGCTCGTTCTCCTCTTACACGCCCACAAGTGTCAGCGGCGAGAACAAGCCAATGGTGAGGTGCGACAGTGTAACCTCCCTCATTGCCGTACCATGAAGAATGTCCTCAACCACATGACACACTGCCAGGCTGGCAAATCTTGCCAAGGTAAGTAGGGGGTAGGGGGCGTGTATAAGTGTATGTGCATGTGTCCCCCAGCCTACTGTGTTTAAAATAAATAAATCAAAATAAGGTTGGCAAGACTCCCTGAAGAAGGTATAAGAACTTTCATAAGCAAACTTAAATCATTTCAGCTCAGAAAGTGTCTGTTATTTGACAGTGCCACTGTGACTATCTGTATCTTTAATAGAAGAATAAGCAGCTTTTGTACTTCTGAGATTTAACCTTTTCTGCCATTCCAAAACACTGGAGTATCTAGCACTGACCTGTAGCCCTAAGACCTTTGGCCTTGATACTGTGGTCTCCCACAGGAGAGATTTAACTTTGAGCAGTACTTGGTTGGGATATTCCACTGCTGCCATGGTGGTGTTGGAGATATGAGCAAAGAGCACCTTTTACAGAATTTATATTAGAGGTGCACCGATATATTGGTTCATATCAGATCGGCCCCAGTAAAATGAAAATTGATATCATTAGCAATCTGCTTTTTTTGGCCATTTGTAGCTGATAATGTCACTGATAAATGCTGTGTGCATGGGTGCAGTCACATAATGCATACTGCATGCACCCCCCAGGGGAGGCATAAGGGGCACGTGCACCCTGGATTTGTGCACGGGGTGAGGGTCGGCTGCCAGCTGTGGGCTCAGGGCCAGGGGCTGCTCCAGCCTCTTCCCGGTGCAGGGGCTGCACTCAGGGTGGGCGGTAGTGCTGGGAGAGGGGGTTACAGGGAGGCTACAGTGAATGTTAAGGTGGCTGTAGCCCACCCCTTAGCCTCCCCTCTCAGCACTGCTGCCTGCCTCTAGCACAACCCCAGCCCAGCCTTCCCACTGGGAAGAGATTGGCACAACCTCTGGCCCTGAGCCCATAGCAGGCAGCCTGCCTCACCCCCTGGATTTGTGCATGGGGTATGTGCCCCCAGTGCCTCCCCCAGGGGTGCACAGCAGCAGGGAGCCACCCCCCAACACCCTCTGGACAGGCTGCCCGTGGCTCCACCCCACCCCAGCTGGGCAGTCCTGGCCTCTGCCCCAGACTCATTCCCCACCTTACCATGGGGGCCTCAATCTGTCCTCCCTGGCCCCTTCCCTCCCCCACAGACTTACTGGTCAGATGCTGCTGCTCTCTGAGCTGCTGAGCGGCTGATATGGCTGGTTAATAATTGGCCATTGGTATCAGCAAAAAAAATCTTTGTCGGTGCAGCCCCCAATTAATATTATCCAGTATCTGAGGGGGGTGTTTCTACGTTACCTTGTATGAAGACCCATGTTGCAGAGGAAAAGTGAAATTGAGGTCTTGACAACTTAAGGCTTTCAAAGAAAACAAGTGTTTGGTCTTGGTATTTTGCCGGAATTCCAAGCTAGTTAACTATTGTCTGACCTCAAATTCCTCATGCAGTTTTAATGGATATGGTTTTCTTTACTTTTGTCTGGGATTGTTTTGTAGGCTTCCTCTGCCTTGGTCACCTTGGAGGTGGCTGCTTCTCTGACTGCTGAATGATCCATGCGTATGCAATTTCTAAAGCACAGTGGGATCTTTCAGAAAGTGGTGATATTCTGTCATAATGGAATAATTTTTCTTTGATATGCCACTTCAGCACTCCTGTTAGCAGAGATGTTACCCCTTATCTTGTTAATAAATAATTTAAGGAGGCCATATTTTATAGTCTTAACAGATTCTGTGCAAAGCAATTTCAGTTTTGCCATCAATCTTGATTCCTAAATGGAAGTAATAACAACATAAAAAGCTAGCTCTTCAGATCCCTGTAATAAAATATGGAAACTTTCTTATATTTCTCTCCTTACCTGGGTTAAGTTTGATCCAATGACAGTTGCAGTTTTATGGCTACTCATTTGGCTTTTTAAAAACTGATTGGTGGAGAGGAAGTGTGGTAAGTTTTGTAGTTAGCAAGTGTCCTTTTTATGTAAACTAGTTTAATTGGCAGTACCTCCTCTGGATGCTTCAGTAATGACAGTATGCCAGTTAGCGACATGGAGATTGTAATGCCCTCTGCCCCAAAAGCTGGTTCTTTCAGGTACACCCCTACTTTACACCAGTCCTTTGGAAGGAGAAATACTGTGCAGGAAAGCTGTTAAATTTGTGGTTGCTATTCTAATAACTTTGCATAGTCAATTTCAGTATACAAGCAGAAATGAATAAGAAGAGTAGCATAAAAGCAAGCTAAAAAAAATTTCTTCACTGACAATAAAACCTAACCATAAGACTGGATTAGATCTTTTGATAAGAACTCAAAATGAAAGTAGTGCATTGTTTTTCTCTTATCCCTGCACTGCATTTTACAGTGTAGACATATCCTAGAAAGTATAATAATATTTGATATTTCCCATGAGCATGGTTGGGTCAGATCTGGAAGCAGTGTAGTTTCTACAGTGGTGTGAAGTTTTGTGTGAGCTAATTTTTTCTTTGGTTAGCACTATCATTGTGCCAATGTATAGATAATCCTAGAGAAATAATTGATTCTCTAGTTAATTTTGTATGGAACATGGAAATATGCAGACTTGAAGACTTCTCTTAAAGGCTTCTCTTTCCATTTTCCTTTTTTTTTTTTTCTTTTCAGTGGCACACTGTGCATCTTCAAGACAAATCATCTCGCACTGGAAGAATTGTACAAGACATGACTGTCCTGTATGTTTGCCTCTTAAAAATGCTGGGGACAAAAGAAATCAACAATGTAAGTATTCTGTTTGCTACTTTCATCATAAAGTGACCATGACCATAAGGTGTTATCTCTCTAGAGTTAGATCTGTTTGTATGCCTGTGTAAGGATGAATAGCAAAGCTGCCAGGTCCATCGAGAACTGGAATGGTTTTCCTCTCGTTTTGGAATTTTATCCTTAATTTCTCCAGTTGTTGTCCACTGTTGTTACCCAAGGTGGTCTTCAACTTAATATATTCCTGACTTGGAAAACAGACAACCATGATGCCAGATCTAAGAGTTGGTGATCCTTTTGGAGAAAAATTTGAGGGTATCATCCTTGCAACAGAACTTAGACTTGATCTTGCACCCTAGTGATAGAGCAGAATATTCTTACTACTCGGATCTGCTCAGATCACTAATGTGAAAGTATTGTTTGAGTAGCTGCATTTATCACAGGTTATTTACTGCATTCTTTCAGAGTTATTTTTAAAAATGTGCTTTACAGGCTCTCCATTCATAGTTACCCTTATAACAGCATACCCTAAACAGGTTAGAGCTGTGATGCTCAACTGGTTTGCTGCAAGATCCTATTGAAGGGTGTTGGGAGGTGTGAGGAGATAAACGCAGGCTTGGGTTTATTCCTGTCTGGCTGATTCATGTACCCCCACTGCCCAGCCCTGCAAGGAAGTAAGCACTGTAATATATAAATTTGTTTTTGAAATTTGGTTGCCACTCAATTCATAGAAGTTATGGAGGGGGGTGCCTGGAGTCCAAAAAAGTTGAGAACCACTGGGTTTAAGGCAAAGTATTTGATGGAATTCAGTAAAGTATGACTGATTATTAGGAATCTTTTCCCTTCAGCTAAGGTCAAATGAGAATAATTGTCCTTCACACACCCAGCAAGTTACTTTTACCTGTCAGCCCTCCCACCTCATGTGCTTCAGCCACATTAAACAAGACACTAAACAAATTAATAGTCTCTGCACTGTCCCAACTGGTGGTACTCCTCTTTTACCCCCAGTGTTATCTGTTCAAATTCTTCATGCTGCCTGACTCTCACTTGGTGTTCCAATCTAAATCCTCTTCTGTGCTCCTGTTCTCCAATATTATTCTGCCCTCATTCTAGTTGATTTGAATATGCTCTTATGTGCTGTCTTTATAACTGCCCCCCTTGCCTACTTTTGTCTATCCTGGAACTATATAGAAGTAAGAGTGAATTAAAGTGGGTTAACTCCTTGACAGATTTGAAGTATTCTGCTTCTCTTGACCTTAACATCTACTGTTGTATGCAGCTGTTGTTTCCACTTGGTTAAAACAATTGTATGTGCCCTATATATTTAAAAATAAAGGATAAATTTACCATGGTTAGTCTATAGTGAAAGCAGAACATTATGATTTTAAAGTCTGTTGAGCAACGTTTCTCCAAATTCTTGTTGTTGACTTCTTGTGCTGCCAATCTGCTTACTCCTGTTGGGGTATTATTTGGATTTATTGAGCTTCTGTACGTTTCCACCTTTTTCTTTAGTTTCCGATATTTGTGTTAATGTAGCATGTCTTTTCCAGCATTATTGGGCGGAGCTACAGTTGGACTTGCAAACACTGGCACTGTAGGGGTGGGGCAGCAGACTACATCCAGTATAAACACTACCAGTCAAATTGACCCTAGCTCTATTGAGAGAGCCTATGCAGCCCTTGGACTGACCTATCAAGGAAACCAGATGCAGACACAATCCCAGGCTCAAGTGAAGAATCAACAGCAAGGGCAGTCACCCCAGGGGTTGCGCCCCATGAATCCCATGAGTAAGTTGATCCTCTTGTCTTAAACTATAAACTGTATATCTGGTGTGTTTCATTTTGTTTCATGATTTTTTTGAAGGATGCTTCAGGTGTTTCAGAGTTGTAAATTTATACCCAGCACATACTAGATTGCAGGGGTAACTTCATGATCATTTACAGTTTTGAGTATTTTACACCATCTAAGTCATGTGATGTTTGCTTAGAAATTTAAGTAAATAGGGAATTGTTGTCTTAATGTATTGCTTAGAATCAACTGACTAGAACTTCTTGGACCCATGTTGTTCATTTCAGAGCCACTAGGGAGTGTTTAAAGGTATTACCTTTAATTTGAACAACACTTAATTGGTTCTGTCCCCTGCTGTCAGGTGATATTTAGGGGTCACTTAAAGATACAGCAGCACTTTAATTTTTGATTGGTTCTAAGTGCATTTGAGGCAGTTGTTAATTTGGCATGTTGAGTTTATAGTTGGTGTAAACTAGGAGTAGTCAGTTATTTCGAGCAGAGGGCTGCTTACTGAGTTTTGACAAGCCATCAAAGGCCTCATGACAGGCAGTCAAAGACAGATAAATATTAATTTTCTAAATTTCTTAGGGGCGCTGCAGGCTGGATAGAACGGCCAGGTGGGCCATATCTGGCTTGTGAGCCACATTTTGCCCACCCCTGGCTTAAACTGAGTATTGCATTCCAGAGAAGAATGACTTTCCTTCATTATGGAAGTAAGAGGGAAGTTGATGGATAGTCATGGCAAATTTGAAGAAAAGACTGAACCAAGACCTGTCATGCTTGTAATACAGTTTGGGGAAATAAGTTCCTTCAGTTATAATTTTCCTACTCATACATTGCATATTTGAAACACCGTGTAAAACAAAACCTCTTGTGTCATGTTGAGAGAGTGTTGAAGTCCCCCCTGATGACCTGCAACCAACAGTCCACTTGTTCACAAGTTCAAAAACACAGGAGTAAACATTCATAACTCTCTAGTGCGGGTTTTTTGGCAAATGAAGATGGTGCAAGTCAGATTTTGTATAACTTCATTTAAAGCCTTCCAAACCAACTTTGCAAACGCAGTAGCAGGCTGACTGAATACTTCTTAAGCTTCATCATAACTTTTGTTGCCTGTTTCTGTGATAAAATGTCTTTTTTGGCAAAATAATCTATATAGTTATTTAGGTTTGAAATCAAACCATAAGTATTGATTTATGGATAGCAAGAGCTTTCTATCTTAATTTAAGACTTTTATGGTTTTTGGGGCTGTTTTCTGCCAGACTCTTCTCATATATTTATTTCTGCAAGAAATCTGTGTTGGAGTTAATCCTGTTCTAAGAAGAAGAGCTATCTGAAGTATTGGGAGAATCTCCTTAGATTCTTAACAGTTTGAGACTGCTAGGCTAATGTACAGAATCTGAATCTAGTTTCTCCCTCTCCTCAAACTCTTTCAGTTTTATTTGGTCCATGCTGTTTCTCTCTCTTGATTATAGGGATTAGGAACAGTGTCCAAGGGGTGTTCTTGTTCTGCGTAGCATTAGAATGTATCCTTTCTTGGACCCTTGTTTTTGTGCTTAGCATTTTCTACTATTGGGATACAGCATGCCTTCATCTGACCAAGCTTTTTTCTTCATCCACACTTCTGGAGTGGAAAAAATGCCATCTTAATTTGTGACGCCTTGATGGCCTTTTAACTTTCCTATGCTTTGACAGTCCGCCAATAAACATTTTCTTTTTGTCTGTTATGACAGATAGCAAGTCTTTCAGGACTCTTTTTTTTAAGTCTTGTTTTAAATATGGTACTTGGAGTCATGCAAAAGTCTCTTAAAAGAAATTGAAACCTGAACAGGTAAGTGGCGAGGCAAGGTTTTAAACCAGACCTATTTAAAACCATTAATTTTGTATTGGTTGGACTCAGATTCTAGGAAGGAAAACAGTTTTTCTCAAAGATTCAGCATTACAGCACCTTTTAACTGCAAATTCCTACTTCCATTTCTTTACCTGTCATAAAATTCTGCAGTAAAATAAGGGGTAAACACAAACTTTTCAGGTACCAAATACCCTTCCTCAGGTACTTGGTACGCAAAAGCTTGCCTATATCCTCCCCAACAGTACAGTTGGTCCAATAACACTCACAAAAATCCTTGCCTTTTGCATATTTCCTAGACCATCATGGCAATAATATTGCTCCAACACTGCTGCAGCACACTAAGATGTTTTTGCAGTAGTACAAACAATAACCATGACACCATCAAGTTTTAAAGGCTTTTTTTTCCATCCTCAAATGAAATTCCTGTTCCTTTCCCCTCCCTTTTTTGTTTTTAATACCTTGTAATTGATTTACTAGATAGATGATCATCATCTGTAGACAACATTTATGGTGACCAGCAATTCACATTGCATCTAGGAGGCTAAAATTTTTGTCCAGTTTGGTTTGATCAGTGAAATGAAATCTTGAAACCTCTGCCCATTGAGGAACCATATCATAGGTTTATGGGGAAGCTGACCCCTTAAATTGACTTTCAAGGCAGTTGGTATTGGTTCTTAATCCTTTGTCCCTAAAGCAAAAAAGCTCCATTCTCCCTTTTCAGTAGCAGTGTCATTTTTATAGTGCCAGCACTTTGCTAGGCATCTGAGGATCTGTACTGCCACTTTTTTTTCCCCCCAAAATACCAAAGTGCAATGTCTCTCTTCCATTAAAGAGAGACTGGCCATATTGTTTAGCTCACCTTAGACTGGGGCTAAGCAGCTCAGGATGCATGTTGCCATTCTTTAGTTTGTGCGCTATATTGCAGCTTAAAAAATGTAGTGCACAGTGTGGGTTTACTGTAGCCCTCCATGCCCTGTTGGAAGCCATGCATGTGTGGCCCAGGTTTCTTCTAGTAGTTCCGTTATGAATTCTCTCCTAGCTGGTAAGTACTAGGGGCGGGGGAGAGGGGGCTGAGGGAGGGGACCATGGGGGAACCCCTGCCAGCCCACCCCACCCCACCCCACCCCACC